TATATATATATATATATATATTCATCGTTAGAAAATACAAAAAGGGCTTGTCCAACCAATTTTTCATACTGGGTAACATATCGGTGTTATAATGTATGTGTAAGTGGTAGCAGCTCCCAAGTTTTTCTAACCCTTATTCAAACCCCAACATGTTGCTTGGCATTTTTGTTTAAAACTTTTTTTGCATCAGCTGCAGGGCTGTTTGTCTGGTAGCAAAATATATCATGAATCACTTGATGCATTTGAGTCAAACTCACAGTAAGTTATTACTGGTTGTTCATCTACAAATGAAAAACTTGGAAAACAATAAAAAAAAAACATCTTTAACCTATTTGACCTTAGCCTAAAGAACAATAACTRTAACTCAGTCAGATTTACAGATATTGAGCTAAAACTTGGTATGGCAGTAGCCGACCGTCATTCACAACACAAACTCTGAGTGCTAATATACAAAATCACATAAGATATTGCCTGAGGTTATCCCTACTGATTTTTTTCAAGCGTCGTTCAAAACAGATAGCTCTGTTTCTCAACAAGTAGGTTTTAGTCTACAACACCTACATGGGAGTTGGAAGCCAAAACACGTTCTTTGAAGGAAAACTAGATTTTTAAACTTTTGTTTTTATGTTTCTGTCTTAAATTAGTTTCTTTTGTCCTCCAGGTGAAAAGCCCTACATTTGTCCATACGAAGGCTGCAGTAAACGCTACTCCAACTCCAGCGACCGCTTCAAGCACACCCGCACCCACTACGTGGACAAGCCTTACTGCTGCAAGATGGCTGGGTGTTTGAAACGCTACACGGATCCCAGCTCACTGCGCAAGCACATCAAGGCCCACGGGCACTTTGTTGCCCAAGAGCAAAGTCCCTCCCCCAGGATAGGGATGGGAGTGGGTTTGTCTGGMCACCGCAGTGCGTCTGAGCTGCCCTCTGCAACGGGGGCACATGTCATCCTCCCCGGGGCCGCTGCAGCTCTCCTAGCGGGCCTCGGCACGTCGCTGCCGTTCTCTGCTCTCTGCCACAGCAGAGCCCTGGCTCATCACGGGGCACCCCTGCTTCCTCTGGGTGGAGGAGGGGGCTGCTGCAACTTCGGGCCACTTGGCCTTTCAGACTCCACTCTGCTGCACTTTGGACTCTCAGCTGGATCAGTGCTGGGGCTGGGAGGCTTGGGAAGTCCGGGGCAGGTACTGAGGAAGGAGCCAGGGGACAGAGAGGAGGAGGAAGAAGGGGATGAGGGTGAGGCTTTGAACCTGTCTGCAGGGGTGGGACCGCGACAGAGGGATCCTTTGTCTTGGGTAGTTGTTCCATCAAAGGCATTCTTCCTAAAACGTACTGCTGTCAGCTAAGATATACAGTCATTGCATCTTTTTTTTTCTGTTTGCGTTTGCAGTAATGTGTTTACAGAGTACACAGAGCATGTATGTTTTTGAGAGATCAAGTCAACTGCAGAGTTATAAAAGACCTTCTTAGTTATCTGATAAGTCACATCCTGGATGATTAACCTATGATTCACCACTTTAATGTCGTTTTTGTCAGTTTGTCTAAGTCGTTAAGACAAACTGTAAACAGTGTTTATGACATGCATGATGGAAGCCAGGTGATTAACCTTCATACTGGCTTTTCAGCAGCCCAGTGTACGAAGTCATATTTCTGTTTTTTCCTTCAAAGTGGTTCCAGCGAAAAACCAGTGCTGGTTAGAAACTGATTTTGTAAAAACACATGTAGGAACTGATTTAGTTCTCTGCAGACTTTCTGTAGAGAAACACAGTGTAGAGTCACAGGGTTTTGTCATTTTTCTTTTTCAAAGATATGTTTTAATGTCATAAATATWCATTCATATTAATTTCCAAAAAGAACACAATCTCATCATATCATGGTCAAAAGTCACATAAATATAATAATGTTTAATAGTATAGATATGGATGAATTGATTCAGGCTGAATCCCATTTCACCCCTTCCTTGTTTCAGTTCAGTGGATTAGGTTGGCCCACTTCTTACATTTTRCATGTGGTATCGTCTATTGTTTGTATCCAATCAAATTAGTTTGGTAAAAGTGAAGCGATAAGACTGTCAGGCCCTTCAAATATAGATTTTCTATGGCACATTTAAAAGAAGGCAAATGCAATATACAGTATATTTAATATAATATAATTATTGCATTTGTCTTTTTTAATGTAGTATCCTAATATAGTATAGTATTGGTATRCATATAAAAGAGTATCCTCAATAAGCTAAAAAAACATTTTTTATTCATTAAGAACATTTTAGACACAATTGTTATGTCTACCTTGGTTTGTGTCATAGTGAAAACTTTAACCCAGTGGTTCCCTGCTGATTATCCTCAAAGCCCCCCTTTCATTCAGCTCCTCATCACTCACTACACCCCACCTCTCCCTAAGATGCGTTCAGGGCCAAGGAGTAACACTAAGAAATGGTGATCAGCCTTACTAACATCCCTTTTCCTTATATTCCTTTAGATTTTGCAGCATTTTATTGCAGACAATCACCTGTATCGGATTTTTTACACTAGACCATGAAAGAGTTTTAACTCCCTGCAACTCGACTAATTCTTTCTATTTTTACTAAGGATGCTATGAAAGTCATTGTAAGAAAAAAAAACCACATAATGCAATTATGGAAAGTATTAAAAGTGACATACTGTTAATCTGATGAGTAACGAGATCATGCAATGTACGTTTCTGTAATTAAGGGTAAAAAATATAGGACCATCTCCTATAACAAATGAAATTTAATTTAAATTGGTCTTTATTTAACATGAGGCACACTAGCTTTATTTCTGTGCAGTTAGTTACTAAATGAATTTTAAAATATTTTAGTACCTGTGAAGCAGGTGTCTGTGATTTTTTTTTTGTCAACAGTCTTGTGTAAAAGATGCACCTGAGAGCACACCTCATCTGTGTGGTTTCAAATTTCATAACAAATTAATTGGGCCTCTTGTGAAAAACAAGACACCTACTGACTTCTGCTAATCTAAGGAAGTCACAGATCAGCTGCTTGGTTGCTTGTTTTGACGGAATCCTTGACTTATCTGGTGTATCTAGTGCATTTAAAATGTTTTTGGAGGAGCACAAAGCTGATGACGTTTCACCAGAAAAAACAGAAAAGAATATTGACGCAACTGAATGTAGGTTTAAGGCTAGCTCTACTGTCTGATGTTTATGTTTGCTTCTTTATTGGTCCGCTAACTTTTCAAAGACAATGATCTCAGCAGGATCAGCCAAGATTTTTTTTAAAATCACAAAATAAAGACATTCACAAGTTAGACAAAGATGTGTACTTGTACACGTATGCTCAAGATGAATATTAAACAGCGGAAACCTCCAAGGGTCTCTCAAAAATAACAATAATATATACAGTATATATATTAACCACAACTCTAATAAAATCCACCTGCATAATTGCATGTTGCTGCATGGTAAAAATGTTTTATTTTATTATGTGAKTTTGTCCTCAGTTTTTAGTCATGAAGTTATAGCAGTTGTCTGTCTGTTACAGTACTGAATGTGCACTATTTTTTAAGCAAATGGTTTGAACAATTTTTTGAAGAAAAGTGACTGACAATGGCCACATGTGGCCAATATCAATATTGATTTACTTTGTATTGTTTGCACATCAGTTTATCCAAAAAAGTATATTAAAGTTGATGAAGTGCCTTTTGTTTCAGCTGAACTGTACCACACAGTTGAAACATGCAGAGAAATATTTACCCAGATGTACAGTGCGTAAGTGTACTTTTTGTTACTTTTTTTTTGTAGAAAGTGTATGACTTGACAACAGATGTTCTTTGAACATCCGGACCAATTGAAACAATTTACATAAACTTATACATGTTGATTATTTTTACCTTGACGCCATGTCAATAAAAAAACATGAAACAAATAAAAAATTCTGGCTGTTATTATGTCTGATGTGCACATTTTTTGTTGYAACACTTTTTACTCTTTTTTGTACAGTATATCTCACTACAAATACAATAAGAATAAAAATCATTTAAATAATTTTCAAGATTTTTGGAATTAAAGGTTTTTTTCCCATTAGTTATATTGCCATACACGTAACAACAAGGACCAGCAGAAAAAGGTCAAACAAAGCTCTTCTTTTATACAACAAGCTGACAGCACAAAAGTGTAAAATCTCACTGAACAAGTTTATTTTGGGTTTCTGTTTTAAGACAGTGGAGGAAGGGTTATTTCCTAAAAATCCTAATTCACATTTTGTTTGACTCAGGAATGTGTGCAAATTAGTAGAAATAGAATAAAATATAGACTTAATTAACACTGTATACAGTGTGCCTGTATAAAGAACATGTAGGTCAAATAATATACGTATATACTGTATATATATATATATATATA